TAAATATTGTTGAATACATATTGCCATATCAGCTTTATCAGTCTAAAAAAAATAATCACTGATAACTAATGATATTGAAAAATTTTGATGAATATTAGGCATTATAAAAAATCGTTGTCAAGCACTATCTATGAACCATTCTATATCAGTAAGATAAGATAAAAGCAGCCTTAAGATAATTATTCTTTTGCTATATTTCATTTTTCCTGTGGTAGGTCTATAGTTATGTTACAAGCAAATTACTTTTTAATTTGATAAATATGAAGTATCATGTTACGTTTAAAAAAAAAATTGCATGGATGCATTCAAAAAAAGTTATTTAAAAATATTCATTTTATTTATCTCACTAAATCATTTAAGATTATCTTATCTTACCGATATAGAATCGTTAAATGTTGCTAAGTACCATTCACGACCCTATGCCAAGACTATATGCACCAGTGTTAAATGCAAAATTCACCACGCTAGGAGACAGAATCCCAAGAAAATAGGCCCTTAATTTCCATTGTGCTCTTTTTTGTAGAATTTTCAGTTAAGCTATAAATAAAGTTGTGATTACCGATTATCAGCAGAGCAAGAGGCGCATAATCAATCTATTAATATCACAGATCTTGAGTATGATCACCTTTTCGCCGACATTTACAAAGAATTGCAGTGAATATTAGGCTGAGTAACGATAGCAGCAGCGAATGTCTTCAAATTAATAAAAATGAACGAAAATTCTTTCGTTTTACATACGTTGATAAGATAAAAGTTTCCATAAATTTATTACCGGCTGATAAGAAGTGATTTTTTAAGTATCTCGAATTCACTCCAATACTTAGTAACCACACGAATGATGAAATCGGGTAAGTGTTAATGGTGTTTTCTGCTGAAGCCTCACTGGATTTGTCGCGAAATCAGCCTCAGAGGAAAATTTCGCATTTCTTATGAAGCTTACATAATCTTTTTATATAACGAAACTTCTCCGTTCATAGCAGAAAATATCAGGAAGTGTGCCTTTGACGATCTCTTCCTAAGGCGCATCCTGTTTCTCGCACGGATGAAGTTTCACACGATCGCATTTAGTTTCACTCTAACATTTCATGCATCAATAGCACTGTCAACAAGCTTCGACTTAAGGATTTTAAAGTTTTCATACCTCATTATAAGCCCAAATTTAAGGAAATCTGATGGATTAATTAAATTAATTGAAGCTTGCCTGTGAGAAGTTACAGCTTTTTCATTGGTACTATTTATTGTTATAATAAATTAACTATCGATAAAATATGTACATTCTCAGCTGGAGCAGTTTTTTTTTGCTATATTCATCTCGGAATTTGTTATTTTTGTTCCCATAATATTCATTTGATTTTGATCTAATAAAGTTTGATTTTGATCTAGGACAATACTAGATAGAACATGAATGATCGAATGGATCGACTTGCATCGAGGTTTAATATAGAAGCTACCAAAAATATCCTGTGCTGGCAGCCTGCTTCCATAGCCAAATGACTCTCAGCAAAATTTTGAACAGTTCTAATAGTCAGCAAAACTAGCCTAAACCAGAGAAGGTTTACACTACCACCATCTATTTAAGCGATTAGAATTGAAGGAGGTGGGAGGTTAAAAAGAGGTTTAAGTGGCGCAACGAATTATGGCAAGGTACTACGTCGGAGATATCAAGTAAAGATTCTTTTTATAAAATATGATCTAAGGCGATTTAAAAAAATTGCAACTCGAGATTTCTAAGGCCCTTAGGACTTAGTGGGCTGTGATAAAACGAGAGTATTTTTTAGACCATAGATAAGTGGCGAAATAATAGGAGATGAGATGTAAAATGGATTAGAGGGACTATCACAAGTTCTGATGGAAAAATGTAAAAGCCTAAAGGGGCTTAAATAATGAATGTAAAGGGATAATGTTATTTAAAAAGAGCACAGCACAGTGAGATTTGATGGACTATTAGGAGGGCATGTAGGGTTTCGAGTAGCGTTAAGGGAGTTATAATAGATCTTAAGTTGAGGCCCAAGGAAGCTTTTTATTAGCGGCTTCTAGCAAAAGAAATCATAGGGACTAGATGGATTAAGCAGAAATAACTGGAAGACTTTAGAAAAATATTCAATAAAAACAGGGATTCCACAAAAAATGGCAGACTTTAAAGGAAATAGGTGGGATTGAGGTGAGCTGAGCAGAACATTAATAGCCAATTATAAATTATTACTAGAGAGATGATTTGTTCACCCACGAAATATGCATTATAACATAGAGATGCAATAAGAATGCATGCAAGCCAGGATAACAAATTAGCCATCTTTGCAGATTAGCCATAAGTGGGAAGGTGAGGTGGTTTAGTGATTTGTTACTTTGACTAAAATCAAGCATCACTGGTTCGATTCTCGTCTCAAAAGGGACTTTTTTTTTAAAGAGTCCTCACCTTTACTGATCAGACTCGCTCCACTGGCTTGGCAATATGTCACGTAATCCCTTGGCTACTATAAAAGCACAAGTGGATCGCCAGCATCATCCGGACTGAACTTAGTTCTATTAGAAGAAAAAAATAATTGTCGATTAATTAATGTTTTCAATTCGAGAATCTTATGTATTTGTTATTTTTTTAATAATTCATATTATTATTTCTGATTATTTTACACGGATTTTTGTTTATCCTCTCCTTTAGCCCCTCGGTTTATTGTATGACTGATACATTACGCCGTAGTGACGCCGTTGGTGATTATAGGGGAAATTATCATCGCGCTAACTGAAAATAGCGCCTCTTATCATATATTCAAATTTTTCAATATATTCAAGTAAAATATTATAGAAGCGTAAAATACCGAAAATCTGCAATTCGCGAAACGTGATTTTGTGTGACTGGAATGGTTATTATACAGAAAAATAATATTCTTAATGAAAATTTTAAAAAAATCCCAGTGAGATGGTTCAACTTTGGGTCGTCTACCAGAAGCCTCGGAGACTTAGGCAAAGCAGATAAGCTTTCAGATGGTCTCGCCTTAAAGGCTCCTACAGAAAGGGTTTACTGATTTAGAGGTGACCTCACAGCGATTCTCAACGAGTATCATAATTTGATTTAAATTTTATTCTCACTTTATTTGAATGATAAAAAAATCATTTTTTTTCAATTAATTTAATTTGATTAAATTGATTAATTTAATTTATTAATTTATCTAAATTATTATATTTTTATAAAATTCTCAAAATAAAAAAATTTTCAATAAATATTTTAAAATTCTAAAAATTTAAAAATGTTGCACTGGAAAATATTTTATGGTACCAATTTTTATGGTACCATTTAGGAGATTCATAACTATTGGAATAATAAATGAGATAAATAAATGCGTATAATTAATAGTTTATAGTAAATAAAAATTTTTAAAAAATTAATTTTCAATTTTATTAATTTATTTTATTTTTTGGAAAAAAAATTTTCATAAGAATTTTATTTGAAAGGCAATTTATACGAAAATTTTCACTGCAAAATCGATCCCATTTCAGTTTTTTTTTTTTCTTTTTCACTTGAATTCATTAATAATTGAGATTTTTAAATGAATAATTAAATCGAAATTTCTAATTCAACAATTTTGTAGATTTGCGGCGGTTAATTCGCATAAAAATTTGAAACGAATAACGAGAACTTATTCAAAAAAATTCACTCAAAAAATTTCGAATTTTTTATCTAAAAAAATTCGAAAATTTTTAAAAAATTTTTTTTTTTTTGCAAAATATAATTAAGGAAAAAATAATTGGTTGAAAATAAAAAAAATTTCAATGAATGATCGTATGGATAATTTAAAAATAAAAAAAAACCACACTTTTTCGCGCATTCTCGTAGAAATAATTTTTTTTCTTTTTTTTTTTTATAATTAATTGGTTGTCTTTATTGATAGGCGAAAATTGACGAAAGAAGCTGTCAGCATCAATTACAATTAATTCTTCAATTTTGTGATCTCAGCGTTGAATTGAAAAATTTTTATAAAAATTATTTTTATATTTGAAAAAATTTTTTTTTGAAAAAAAAATAAAATTCATAAATGAATGAAAAAAAATAGCCTAAAAATTTTGAAAAATTCTCTAAAAAATTTATTCACTTAAAATAGTAAAAAAAATTTCGCAAAATTCTTTTTTAAGCTAACAATTTATATTTTATAAATTTTATATACGTTAAATTTTTTATCCAAGCAAGCTAAATTCTTTTATTCTAAGAATATTCGCTCTATTGGCTCAAGCCAAACAAATTTTGCCGAAAATCCAGGAATTCCATTAGGCGATTGAAAGGATGTGGTGAGTTTTTTTTTCTCTCCTGCGAGAAATAGAACCTTAGTGTCGGCACTCAGAATTGTGCAACAACCCACTGAGCCATTCTATTCACCGTGGTCAATTTACTCCAACGTGATACGAAAATGCGAACAACAATCCATTCGCTGGGCCTTTCTAGTAATTCTCAATGGAATTGTACTTCGTATTTCTTGAAAAATTTAATAATAATAATCTCGTATAATTTATAATATTAATTTGTGAATATTAAAATTAATCCCTCTAATGTTTCCCAAAAAATAACATCAAATAGCGACGCAAGTACCATCAATTTTGCAAAAAGAACTTCTATAGGCTTCTTATTAATACTTTCAACATTTATTATTAATCAATGTATATTCAAATTCAAATAATGAATTGAGCATAATTGAGCATACTTCATGGATAATTAATCAAATCCATAAGTTATAAGTTTACAATGAAAATCGTTTCTCCTAAAGTATTTCAAAAATTTTATGGCAAATATAGTATAACGAAAACTAAATTTATTAAAACTTTTTTATGTACAATTACGAACAATATAGAATTACGATTTAATAATATTGAATAATTTATGAATATTTATTTATTTTATAATATAAATAATATTTTAGAACGAAAATCAACCCTGAATCAAAAAAAAAGCACTAAATAATACACTTTAAAAACAGTTCTGATGAGCAATGAAACTAATTAATTACAATGCTTCAAGGTATTTGATATTTTAATAGAATCTGTAATATCTCATCTAAAACTCGACCAATATCTTTATTTGCATCAATAATATAACAGTTTGTTTCAAAAATTGGTATTTCTAATGAATTTAATTGTGAACTTAGAAGTTTAGTATTGACAAAATGGTTTTTTCGTGATTCAAGTCGTCGTTCTAGCTCATTCCTGGAATAAAAACGAATAAAAATCAAGCATCCTATATTATGATGAAATATTTTAAAACAACACGATTTTCATCATTCTTAATATGTTTGCCACTGTGATGGTTATCCAACTTTTAATCTAAGCACTTCTTCGATTATACATTTTTATAGAAGTTAGAGAGTTGAAGAAGTCGTAAACGATTTTTGTTATAATAATAATTGTTATAGTAATAATTTTAAATGAAAAATTGAAAATTGCCAAATAACATCTATTTTTTTAAATTTTGCCGCTATTTAAAATTCTGCTGCTATTTTAAACACCTAATTCAAATTCATCGATGAATCTTGAAAATTAAATAATTAAATAAGCATACTGGAAATAAATATTTCAATGTAGGCATATTTTTATTTTTTCATATAATTGGTGACTTTCTTTGTTTTTTTGCAAATAGCCCATCCCATATAATTTCTGGCTGATGAGATAAACTGAATTTCAGAGAAACATCTAGTTAAAGAAATAGAGGACAGAATCGTTGACAGCTGTTCCAATTTCATTTTTAATGATTATCACAGGAATCGAATGCATATTGCTAGTGATCAGTTGAAGTTGATGCAGCCATCACAATCCTTCCCCACTCCCCCCCCCCCCCCCCCCTCCACCCTCCCTCTTAAGAAATATTTGATTTATAAATATACATTATTTAGAATAGTATAAAACAAACCTCTCAACATTTAAATGAATGAAAATAAAATAATTCAACAAATTTTTCGTTAAAATTTTTCGATAGCTGCTTTTTAATGCTGAACATGCAATTACAAGTCGTTCTTTAGAATTCATGATAATTTGAGATAAATTTTCAAGCCATGGAATACGATCATCGTCTGTTAACGAAATACCTCAAATTAATTCAATTTTACGAATAAAATAAAAATAAAAAAAAATTTTTCTGAAAAAAATCATTTCTAGAGAAAATTTCATGAATGCACTTTACTTTTATTTTTTTTCATGAATGCACTTTACTTTTATTTTTTCATATTTTTTATTTTAATAATATTAAGAAATTCTTTGTTTAAAACAATAAAAAAATAATGCAAAGTAAAGCCAAAACCATTTGCCATTTTTTGTTTATTTTCAGGCGAATGATAATAATCAGCATCAATAAATTTAGCACCAATTAATTTCGATAATTTTTCAGCGGCTGTGCTTTTACCCGACCCACATACACCCATTAAAAATATATATTGCAATTTACACATTAATTACCTGTGATGGTAGAATAAATAGATGATCTGAAAAGATAAAAAAAAAATTTATAAAAAAATGAATTTCCCGATGTGCCATCAAATCGACTATTAGCGAAAAACATTGATTATTACCAGAATTTTAAAATTATGACTCACTAAGCTAAATTTGCCTTAATAATAAGCCTTAAATTTTTTTTAAACCGCTTAGAATAAACCAACTACAAAAAATGAATGTTTTTTTCCAACATTAGAAAGGAAATTGTAACAAGGGTAAACTTTTTCATGACGTTATCAATAATTCCTCATATACTGTTGATTGCAAAGACGGAAACAATCATATTTCCCACTCCATATCGGTTTATGTGTAGAATAAAAATGCGGAATAAATGCTTCATTAACTGTAAGAAAAGGACACTTGAGCATTTATAATTTTTGTGGCCCAAATCACAAAAATACAAGAAAAATCAGAGAAATGCTAATATCAGAAGGAAAAGGGAATAATAATAATAAATATATATACAAATATATAGCAAATTCACGAATATAGAACGAATAGTTGAACTAATTATGGTACGAATAATTCTTGCACAATAACTATAATAGGCCATCTAAGCTGCTTAATTATAAAAGCCTATTGAACCACAATATCACCAAATTGCAAAGTAAGAAAACCAGTTTCACTACTATTACAATCTATTGCCCAAACATTTCTTTTACTATATAAAATTTAATAGTGGTGATAATAGACTGTGATGTAAGATTGAAATTTTTATGGATTTAATAATAATATTAATTACCAGGATTCTCACATAGCATAATATAATCATTCTTCTTCCAGTGGATGCAAATCAGTGCTAAATGGCGGTAAATAAACATATCGGGCCAAAGACATATAATACCCAGCTGAAATTTAAATTCAAATATGAATGACTCCTCAAATTGAGCGATTAAAACCGCATTTGTAAAGGAAAGAAAAAGCAAATAAGTATGGATATATCATTCTCCTGAAGTACTATTTCTGTTTTGGCTGGGTATTAACTTAACTCTACTAAAGAATAAAGTTGGCTCTCGTGTAGTGAATGCATAATTATTTCCCCTGCAATTAACCGGATTCTAACGATGAAGTTTTCTTGACAAGGGACTGCAACCGAATTAATACCAGATGCCGCCAATCGAAGTTAAATACGACTCAATCACAGCAATACCGAAAACAGACCAATGAAAACAAGAAACGGACGTCCGAAGGAAAAAAGCCTCCGTCGAAATGAACTTTTTTTAGACATATTTCTTTTGCATCGGTGACATGGTGCTAAGATGACCGCCACCAAGGAAATGGCTAGGGTCAATGGATCACGCTTCGTCGAGCTGCAGTGTCGGCGAACGACGAAAGCAAAAGGAGACAGAATGGCAGCTTGGTGGGTTGATTATTTAAAAGCAGCAGTGCTGAGGGTCCACTCCTAGCAGAAATAAACCTGTCCTTCAAAAATCCAAATGATGCTGGCGACCCACCTGTGCTTCTATTACCGATGGACTTCTTGACAAAAATTTGCCTAGTACGACAAGCCAGCATAGTCTAACCAGCATTGGTGAGCGCTCTTAAAAAAAAATTTGTTTTAAATGATCCAACAAAAACCTACCAATAGACAGTGCTCCGACAAATAACTTTTGATAAGGTCTTGCCATATAATAATTGCTCTTCGTATTGTATAAAATGTAAGTGGCAATGCCAAAAAGTGTAGCCGATCCCACTAATCGACATGATCGGCAATCCTTTCGTTTCGAATCCAGTTGGTCCATTTGCGAGATTTGATTTAGCAATCGTATGTATAGGCTTTGAAAATTTCATGCACAGCAATAAACAAACCCGTACGAACAAGAAATCTCTTGAATATTTTGCAAAACACCTGAAATCGTTTATTTTTTCCTAAAGTATATCTTCTAAATTCTCGACAATACAGCTCAATAACACGGAACTCTCGCATCAATTAGCTTCACTTTTATTGACACATTTGTTCATATAAAACACATTCCAGTCAGATCGCCTAAATATCACCATTCTACTTATTTATTCTCACAGTTCAAAACCTCAAAATTCTATTGCTAAGAAATAAATAAACGAAGAAATTGCATACTGCTTCTTCAACCAAACTTCTTCATAAATCCGAATCATACTGGCAGGAACAAAATTGTAACAAAAAAGAAAATTGAATAGGGAATCTCTGTGTATTAAGATGTATCACCAAATGATTCCCATGTAGCAGTATCATACTAAACTTCAATGACGCCAACCCAACAAGATATAGTTTCAGACTGATAAAAAAGGAAGGAGATACAATCAAGTAAAAATCAACAAATTAAATCTTTTCTTTGAAACCGCAAAATTGCAAATAATTTCTTTATTATATTTTATGAAAAAAAGATATCAATTATCAATCATTTGTGAAAAAAAAGGAAAATTTTGAATCTTCCCATTTAGATAAACAATTATAATAATTATGCAAAATTATGTAATAATATTATGAAATAAGGAACGAAAAAATATAATGAAAAATAAAAAGGTAAAAAAGTAAATTTGTTTAAACCCGCAAAAATGATACGAAAAAAGGGAACTTGATTATTACATCGATAATATAACTAGCTTAATTTAAGTAAAGACAGAAAAGAAAACAGAAGATAAGAATGGAACATTGTTTCATTGAAGCCCGGCAACATGGAATCGATTCTTTTCGCCCTCGCGAAAAGTAAATGTATCGCTAAAACAAAAATACGGCCGATGCTGTTTCTACCTTCAAATGATTCTCTAGCGAAGGAACCTCATTTCAACAATCATAAGATCCAGCCAAAAATAGTGAATGATATTAGAGGAAAATGAATAAATAATGGTAATAGTAAGAACTACCCTTTAAAGAATTTATTAACCCAAGATCGATGAAAGAATGTTTAAATATTCAAAACATGAGTTCTTATCACTTTTGATACATGATTATAAGATTTTTCTGTTTTGATTTTAAAGAAACTTTGATAGGTAGGTATAGGTCTATAGGTCTTAATTTACTATAGGTCTTAATTATAGGTCTTAATTTACTATACTAATACGCATGCAGTTAAATAAATAGCCAAATGAATATGAAGGCGAAATTGGAAGGCCCACTTACGTACGTTTTCCACTGCTAACAAATTAATCACCCAAATCAATTTCATTGCAACTGACGGGCAATTTTATGGGAACTACTGATTTCTTCTGATGATCGCGTGATAATGCTTTTCGCATATCTGAAATTTTTAAAACTCTGCCTTCCTGAAGAAAGAAAAAGTTTAAAATAAATTCAGAAACACAAAAACTGATGGCGGTATGGGAAGGATGGAGGGATAGAAGTGTAGTGCTTAAACTATCACGTCAAGAATTCGAATTTAACCCAAAGCTCCCAAAGCTTCGAAAAAAGTAAATCTACAACTGACAAATCTGAAAGATGTTGGATTGGAATAATCTGTGCCTCAACCACTAAATTTGTGTTTGAAATATTTCAGACTAGTAATTAAAATGCAAGCTTAAAACAAAATGGCAGACTGCAGAGAAAAAAATAGCAAGATATGAGATCTATTAATTACCAAAACTTTTTACAAAAGAATCAACTAACCATAGGCATCTTCTTCAAATTTTCCTGAATAATAGTCGATAATTCGTCGATAAACGATATATCCAAGGCTTTTGTACATATTTATAGCAACATTATTACTTACTCGCACAAAAAGGTCAACAAAATAACATCGCCTCCTTCAAAAAACAAAAAAAAAGTAGAGAAATTTTCAATTAAATCATATACATAGACATTTTACAAATAGTATTAGTTAAACGTATAAAGAAAATAAGTGGCAGATTACTTACATTTCGGAAATCTCTTCCAATGATTTCATCATTCGCGCAGCCAAATGCAAACGGCGATAAGCCGGTGCTACAGAAACCGCAGTTACGTGACTATGCCAATTTTCCTTTTCACCTTCTGCTTTACCCATTACTAAATAACCTTAATTTCAAGATAATACGAAAAATACAACCAAGTTTAATTGAATCAAAATTAATCAAATGATGAAATGCGAACTTTAAACAGAAATTGATAAGAAAGAAGCGTTAAAACATTTTCTTTAAAACATCTTTAACATCTTTAAACATTAAAAGGCGGAAACTATACTAACCATATCCCATAATCTCACCATTTGGATGTTCAAAAACTTGAAAGTATTCCGAATGATTAATTAAATACTGTAGATAAAAACTAAAACCATACTGAAAATAATCATACATTTTAATTTGGACATTTCCATAACAATACTATATACTTTCATTATTTTTAAATATATTAAATTCTCAATCTTATACTAAAGTAGAAAACTTATAAGCAAAAGAAAGCATAAAAAGCGAGACGAACCGTTTCGGTAAGTGGATCCAAGTTCCTGAAAATTTAAAATAAATGAATATGAATGACAAGAATGTATAAAATCCAGAAGACAATAAAGAAGACGATAAAGACAATAAAGAAAACAGGTAAAGAAAATTAATAACTATCAAAGCATTATATAATAATCATTGGAAAATTCTCTGGAAAAAATCTGAACTTGATTGCGAAATTTTCGAAGAAATATCAATTCCTCTCTTCTCCTGAGAAATACAGCACTGGTTGACTTCTACGATAAACTCCCTCAGCAGAAAACAAACTGGGAAGAGAGGTGGAAGAGGTTGAACATGTAGTTTATGACGTTGATTGCACGAGTTTACAGATATTTCTGGAACAAACTGTTTCGAGGAATGACAAATGATTAGCAGCCTTGGAGAGAATCCGCGAACGTTGAACATCAAAACCTCAGTGGAAGGTGGGGGAATCGAACCCCCGACCTCACGCATGCAAAGCGAGCGCTCTACCGCTGAGTTAATTCACATCACGCACCAGGAATTCTTGGAATAAGGTAAAAATATAATAGTAAATAAGGTAACACCATCCAAAACATCAAAAATTATAAAAAACTAAAATAAAAAACTAATAAAAATAAAAAACTACCTAAAACAAATTAAAAATAACTAACACATTATTAAAGCGAAAGAGATCAAAAACATTGAATGGTCGTATTGTAGTCATTTGAAATATTTTAAACTCTGAAATAATCATTTAATAATCACTTTTATTGAAAATGCTTTTCAAGAAACAAATACATGAGAGGCCCAAGTCCAAGGTAAAACAGCAATTACGTGATAAAATACCTGGTTTATTGGTACTTGTTTATACCTGGTTTATTACCTGGTTTATTGGTACTTGAAAAAAAACCGAGAATCGACTTAAAAGAAACCTCACGAAAACTTTTACCATTCTCCAAAATCTCTATTTCATGGAAAATCTCACAAACAAAGTTCTCTCGACGACGATATCTCTTTTCCAATATTGGTAAACTCCTCTCAAAACTTTCACCGTCTCAACTCCCTCAGAGACGATTACCGCCCCTTTAACGCCCCTCCAATTCCCAAACCTGCCAAGAAACTTTGCCCAAAACTCCCGAAAGACAACACAAACACTTCCTAAACCTTTTCAAAAAATTGTTGTCTATAATTGACAATACCAGCATATGCTAAAAAATGTATTTGAATATTGAAAAGCGCTTCAAGACCAAATTTTTAAATTTTAAATTTTTTATTTAACAGCTTTATAGTAACAAGCAACTTTAAAACAATTTTAATTTCTGTTAAGAATAATCGTTTAAATGAAACGTTTATGTAGTAAAACTAATATTTTCCAATAAAAATCTCATTAAAATATTAAATAAAAGAAAATTTGAATGTACAATTGATAAAATTGATCGTGGAAAGATTGCAATTTCTAGATTTTTATTTCATTTAATTCGATAAATCCCATCGAATGAATTAGCTATCAAATATAAGCGGATTTTTCGAACAATTCGAAACAATCATGTGAGATTTCATTCACTCAACGAATCCCTAAAATGACATCTTATCTTAGACATGAGTGGTCAAAAGCTGATAGTTTCTTAATATCTTCCACTCTCATTGGCCATATTTTGCAGCCATATAGCAAGATCGAACAAATTGCAGCTATATGAACGCGAATTTTCGTCTTTATAATGATTTGGCGACGATAAAGATTTCGTCAATCGAAAAAATACATTTATTGGATTGAATTTAAACAGTTGAACGAATGTTTTATTTCAATAATGTAGTGAAGTACCATCTTTTTCATCGTCTCTTCTTCTAACAATTTGAACAAATTATTTGTTAGTTTCGCTAAAAATGAATAAATTTTTGTCGGAATCAAAATTTAAAATTTTAAATATTTAGCGCTAATATTTAGCGCTAAATTTGTGATTATTTGATGTTTAAATAAATCGCTATGCATATTTTGCAGATTTTTTGTACGAATAAAATTTATCATTCAAAATTTGCTCAAAATTTTAGATTAAATTTGCATTTTATTTGCATAAATATTACAAAATATTATTCGATATTCCGAATGAATTTGTCTTACATATTTAGCTTTTTATGCTTAAATTTTACTAAATATATAAAGCATTTTTTGTGCATAAAATTTGTATCTGAAATGCACAATTTTACAAAATATGCATCATGCACAAGTCGCGTTAAATCATTTTTTGCAATCTAAATCTATTCTCTTGTTATCTAATCTATTGTTATTTATGCTTATATTCGCCATAAAACCTGCACAATTCATTTTCTGCTTAAATTTGCTTTAAATATTTTCTGGTTTTTATCACCGAATTTAAAAGCTAATGAGGAACAAATTCGAACTATGAACTCAAATCAATAATTAACCCCTATGTAATACGTAGTTTGCATTCAGCTAGATATACTATCAATGCTTATTAATTTGAATTTGAATGATAAAAGTGATAAAGAAATTTTTTTTTGATAATATGGATTTTAATAGTAATTAAATTTAAAATTTTAGAAAATTTTCATTTAATAAATAATAAATTCCAAAACAATTGAAAATAATTTGTAAAATAAGTCGTTCCGCATCCATAAACTACCGGTTTTATTATCAAAAATTTTTGATATATTTTTATTTTCAACTCATTTAAAATTTTCTCGTTCACTTGAACTTCTATATCTAAACTTTCTCTTCAATTTTTTTCTTCGCTTTCCATTATAATTGCTAATTTATCGAACCGGTTTCAAACTTCTTTCGCTATAAATATAAATATCGAAATATTGCAAAACGTTGAGTGAATATTATCATTATTATCAACGACGTTATCATGTCTCTATCGATATATTCGGGTTGTACGTCGATTATCGTTATTTCATTATGTTTTTTATACGTACCGTATTTATTTAATCGAATGGCAAAAATTAAAAATGATTTAAGTATTAAAATGGATGCATTCAAGGTAAAACAACTTTTAATATTGTAAATCGAAGTATTTTTGCAAGTGTTTTTAACAAAAAAAAAGGCATTTAAGGTACTGGAAAATGAAGTGTGGACTGAGATGATGATAGCAAGACAAATTGAACGCGCACGACCAAGAAAAACACGGCAAGTCGGACCCCAGTGTCAATGCGACACTGGCGAAAGATGCCCACCTGGTCCACCAGGACGTCCTGGTGCACCTGGTATTCCCGGTGTACCTGGTCAACAAGGACCCAGAGGTAATAATCTCGTTATAATCTACGTTATAATCTCAGATTTTTTAAATAATCGTTTATTGGCTCTTTTTTGTGAACTATTTACAATTATAAGAAAAATTCCAGGTCCTCCTGGAGCACCAGGTATCGTGCCACCTATGGATTTCACACCGCCAACTGGTTGCAAAACTTGCCCACCGGGACCAGTTGGACCACCTGGACCACCAGGAATGGCTGGACCCCCAGGCGAAAAAGGAATGCCTGGGAACCCTGGCCAAGATGCTCGACCTGGAAACAATGGAGCAATGGGACCACCAGGACCACCAGGTAATAAATTTCTCTTCAATTCCTTTCGTCTATTACCCATGGAAATGCAAAATTTAAAACATGAATTTCAGGTCCACCTGGCATGGACGGCAAGCCAGGTTTGCCAGGTCCGCCTGGAGCTGACGGTGTTGCTGGTCGCAAAGGACCTCGTGGCCCACCAGGACCAAATGGTATGCCAGGACCGAAAGGACAGCAAGGACCTCCAGGAAATCCAGGAAACGCAGGTCAACCAGGAATTCCAGGGCAGCAAGGAGATGTACGAAAATTTCTTTGAATTCAATAATAACGATTCCACTTGAAACAATTCAAAGTTCAAGTTGATATTATATAACAATTGCTTCAAAATGTATTTCGAAAATTTTTAGGCGGGTCCAGATGGTGCACCAGGCCAACGCGGTCAACCAGGACCACCAGGACCACCAGGACCACCAGGAAAGGATGCTCAATATTGTCCATGTCCTAAACGTACCATGTCTGTTCTTATCAAAGCGAAAAAGCGATCATAAAATAGTAAGAAAGAATTCTCTTCAATATCTTTTAACAGTTAAAAATAATCGAGTAATTCTATTTTCGATTCATAAATATATTATCAATAAATTCGAATTCATTTTATTCCATGCATAATTAAAAATTAATAAAAAAAACCATCGCCATTCTTGGTGAATGAAAGCGAATATAAGTCATTATTTTCTCACTTTCATCTATTCTTCTATTTAAAATAAACCAATCGGCATAAATTATGATAAATAAATTATATAAAAAATATGTAAATTAAAGTTTAAGTCAACGAAATCGTAGAGTTTTTATTTTGATACGAATGATTTGGAATAAAGAAACACTATATTGTTATTGCAATTTTTTTCTGAGAGCTATTTTTTATCACTTTTTGCTTGGCTCATTCCATTGGCTTTTTATAGATCAAATAAATTTTGCCAGGAAATTATTTTATTTTGCTGAATTTTAATGCAAATGATAAGAAATTTTCACAAAATTCTTCATTTAGAGTCTAATAAAAATGATAAAAGTGATATGACAATGGTAAAAAAAACATAAATAAAGAGTGAGAAGCGATAGACTTCTAGGACAACAACGTAATATTGAAAAAAAATTCCTATTGAATGGTACCATTCATTTATTGAAAGCTGAAAGAAAAACCTGTAAATTTCAACGAACTGGAATTTATAAATAAAATTAATTTTTAATTTTTGAATAATAAATAAGCGACAATACAAAATAATTGTCGATGGTATTTTTCTGTTTGAAATTAGTTTTTTTTGAAAGTATTTAAGTAATTATTTCCTCTTTTTACCAAACAGAAATATTTCCTGAAATAAGTTTTGTATTCGCTCAACAATGAGGTAATGGAGTGAGGAATGATTAGCAGAATGGAACGGTGAATGTTCTTGACTAAAGCATTCATGGCTTTAAGCATTCCTATTTCTTGACTAAAAGTAAACCTGTCGTAAAATCTGCTAGGGACGTTAGGAACCTATCTATCTATATTTTTATCGTTATGCGACTTTTTGGCAAAAAAGAACAATTCAAATAGTCGGTAAATCCATTTCATTCGCTTACTCTTAAGCCAATCAAAAAAATGATTAATTCTACTAATTTTTCTAAGAAAATTAAGGACATAAATAGTAAAAATATTTATTAATGTTAAAGAAAATATTTTCAAAAAAATAAAAAACCACTAAATATAAATGAATGCTATAAATAACGTTGGGTTATTTGTGATAAAATAAAAATATGGGATTCATGTGGTGAATATATTGTGGGATCCATGTGGTGAATATATTGTAGGATCCATGTGGTGAATATATTGTAGGATCCATGTGGTGAATATATTGTAGGATCCATGTGGTGAATATATTGTAGGATCCATGTGGTGAATGTATTGTGGAATCCATGTGGTGAATATATTGTAGGATCCATGTGGTGAATATATTTTTTAACGTATAAAATCTAACATTGAGAAAAAATTGGATGGCCATTATCATTTGTCTTACAAGAACACGAAAAAAGCCAACAAAGAGCCATTTCACTTTAGTATTATACTAAAATTTTTTAAAATTTTTGTATGTTGTGCCTAAATAAAGATAAAAAGCGGTATTTTAGAAATATCGAATAAATTATATGCGTTATGGTGAGAAATGGTGACTGCATTACTTCTAATTATCAAGTTTTTTTTTTTTTTTTAGAAAATGTACCATTTTTCAGTAATTAACGAATATTTTAATGAATATACCAGTGGTCAGTGATAATTATAAATTATATTATTCTGAAATTGATATTTAAAGGAAATTCATGGCAAGAAATATATAAAGTAATTCAAGCGATTCGAGTCTCAACTTTTGAAAATTTTCCTATTTTTTCAAATAACACTAATTATTTCTTGAATGATTAGAAAACGACTAAGATAACATCCCTTTCAGTGCAATGATTTTGTATCGAAAAAAGTGAAATATTATAAAAGCAGCAAAAAAAATGGAAAATGATTTTATAGTGATTATTTAGTCGCAATCATTGACATATTAGCAAATGGTTCATATAAATTACATTATATAGAAGTGCTTCTTTCATTTAATGTTCGCAACCCTACAAAGATGATTCTTCTCAATAACAGTGATAACAATAATTTTATCATTTTAAAATGATCATGATATTTCAAATTTATATTGAGCACAATACAATGAGAAAAAGTTTAACGTATATAAATATGAAGTGAATAGATCAAAACGATGGTACGCAAACACGCTGAGCTCGTTCAATTTGATTTATTAGATTCGCGAGCCTTCGGCGAATCTTTTTTTGATCATCAGCGGTACATTCGATTACCTAAAATATAAATTAAAGAGAACAAAACTTTTCTTATATTTTCACCATTTTGGTATTTTTTAACCAAATCAACTGAAATAAATAACCTGTTTTAATTGTTGATGCTATTACAAATTTTTAATAGAAAATCATTCGAGTAGAAAATCACTGTAAGTCACTATTCGTAATTTTTAATAACATACTTATTCTTGCTGAAGACAGCAGCCACTGAACCACTGATTCTCATAAAGTTCATCTAAGCTATATCACCACGTTTCAAAAATATATATATTTATATAAAAATATAAATAAAATGAATTTGTATAAAAAAAATTTATATTTATATAAAAATTTCAAAAATTTTTTATTCAAATGAAAATATTTCATTTGGTTTAGTAGAATTCTAAAAAATAAATGAATTAAAAATTCTACTTGCGCTTGAAACCGTTGATCAATTGGACCATCGGGTTGATCTGGTGCACAAGCATTCAAATAGCGTCTCATCAACTAAAATATAACTTTTTAGTTAAAATACAATTGATCCATACAGAACATCGGTATCAATCGTTATCATCAACAACAATACATGTATATACACTAAAATAAACATACAAAAATACGAAAAATAAAGCAACAAAATTAAATTCTTTTTTCACCATTATTCGATCCACTGGCTTGTCGCACTGAACAAATATGCCAGGGAGTCCCTTGTCGACAGAAACACAGATGAGTGACCAGCGTCACCCGAATTTTTGGACAAATTTTACTCTTGCAAAGAGTAGAATCTCAGCATCGGCGCTCCGAATCTAGCAACAACTAGCTGAGCCATTCTACTATATATAAAATTGTTGAAATAAAATTGATAGAAAGATTGGTTACCTCTTTGGTATTGTTAAGATCGTCTTGCATTTTGCTAACAGCACTTTCAATTAATGAATTAACATTGTTTAATGCAGCCGTTTGCTCGGCATTCCTTGGAGTATTAACAACAACTTCGACAGCACGACAACGATTCAATAAACGATTTGCTGTTGCATTTATATCATCTCGATCACCTTAATATTATATTAATATTAATATCAATATATTAATTTTTCCATTTTTCCAAATAAAAACTCTCTTTATTATTTACAAATGAAACGTAAAATGTGAAATGAAACGTGACGTAAATAAACGAAAGAAAATCATGCTATTCGATAAGAATGCATGTTATTATATAAGCAAATATGCTGAAATTGTTGTCTATCCTATTGCAAGAAAATCAAAAATTTTTTAGTTTTTTTTTTTTCATTTTACTTCTCGTTCGTTTCCAGTTAGTTTCCTATTTCAGACATTGATATATCTGAATACTCAAAAAATATTCATATATTTATCAAGAAAATTTTTCATTTCTTTTTTATAAATTTTTATGAATTTTATATTCATATATTTATAATAATATAATAAGATTAAAAACAATAAATTTTACAAATATAATTTTACATATTTATAAATTTTCTGATAGCACGCGAACCCTTTATCACTTATTTCACTCAAATTTCCGCCAATCTAATTTCACTCAAATCATTATTTATTACGTTTAAAAAATTTATTCTATGTACGAATGAAAACTAGAAGAATTTGTTAAAAGATTGAAAAAAATTTTTGAAAAATTTAATTAAGAAAATGAACGAGAAAAACATAAATACGAGATTAAACAAAATTGAAAAATTGTCTGAAAAAATTGTTAATTTCGATTTAAATTCCGATAAAAACGATATGAAAAATGAAAAAATTCGATCTTCATTATAGATTTTAATTAGATATTTCAATGATAATCTGAATAGATCGTATTTTTCGAATTTCGAGGGAATAGTTCGCAATATTTGCTATCAAAAAACGGTCAATAAATCTTTATGGCAGAAATAAATCGCTATGATTTAAAAGATCTAAAATAAACCAATCGAAAAAGCTAAAAAGACAGAATATCACCTAGTAGGATGAGATGATAATTTGATAATTTAATCTTGAAAAAGACAATCCCCATTATAAAAATATTTTTTACCTTGACCCAAACGAAAGACATCACTATTGAGATTAATATTGCCTAGAACGTCCAATAAGGATTCCTTCTCCTGCTCCAAATGACTTGCTGATTCTCTGAAATTTCATTAATGAATAATGAGTAATGATAAGACCTCAATTAGGTTTATGTAATTTAACAGGCTAGAATTAGTTTCTGTTTACTGCACAATATATATTTACTGTACAGTTACTATGAAATCTACCTAATGGTAGGTTTTTCGAAAGTGATAAGCCAAAAAGAATAAGTGAGGGCATAGCGCAAATATAAATGCTGTGGGTTGGCCATATTATTTCAAGTAAAGGATAGCAAAGATTGCTATTTATTTATAATGGTTTATAAAATTTTATAAACAATTCATATTATACTCCAAGACATTTCAGCTGAAAGCTAAATTTTACGGTCGTTTTGAATCCTTTTAAAAATTTAAATATACTTAATTTATAGCCAATTAGCAAAATTCAGTACCAAAAAAAAAGCGAAGAACCACCACCAGAAAAAAAGTGGAAAAATGTCTCTAAATGAAAAGTCCTCATATTTTTCTTAAATAAAAAAATTTTCAATATTCTCATACTTTTTTTTATAAAATAGGCCAAGATAAGCCCTATTTGTATTATTATTTCTATTATTTTTTATAGGGTTTAGACTAAAAATATATTAAACAAATATACTGATAAGGCTTGAAAGACTAACGATGAATGAATAAATAACCTGAATTGTTCAACACGCTTCTCGACTTCATCAAGCATTCCAATCATTTGATCATTGAAATCTTCAAGCGAAGTCTTACGAATTAATTGCACGGGAACATTTCTAGAATTGCTTGACATGCTTGCTTCAACGCGATTTCTTTCCGAATACGGTCTTATAATTACTGGCAATGATTGTTGAAATCCCCTTAAAAATACCAAAAAAAATAAGTGATAATGATAAGCAAAAAAAAAAAACGTGAAAGAAAAGCGAGTTTTTGATTTAGTTTAAATGAAATAGTTTATTTAAAATATTTTACATTCCTTCGAATGCATGATGCATATTTCACATATAATTTTAGATGGAAGTAATGAAACGAAGTGAGCTTAAGTTTTTTTCATTTTTCTTTTGAAAATGAAAATGAATCTTTTAATATTTAGTGTAATATTTTTTAAAAAAATATATTTCACTTAGCAACCTATCTAAAATCAAAAAAAAAGAATAACTTAAAAGATAAAAATAAAATTGAAATGATTGTTGAAAAGAGAAGATTAATCGTTTAAATAAATATATATTTTTTATCAGAGATCAATATCAAATACGAATGATATATTTGATAAATAGACTGATAAAATAAATCACGAATAAGATTTCAAATCTTATCAAAAATCACTCCAATCACTCCAATTTTCATCGATCCCTTCATATTTTCATATTTTAAGTCAAAGCAAGAAAATCAGCTTGCCTTTATTTCTATTTATAAGAATTGTTATTTGAAATGGAGATTATCTTTAATTCGAGCATATGTTATGCTTAAACTGCTACGATATAAATTATACTCATAAGCTCGATAAGCTCGACACTTTTTTTTTTCTTTTCCTTGAATAAAATCGACTAGCTCTATCAAATACTTCTATACTCGTGGCACAAGTAAAGTTACCTGTCATAGATGTTTGCGACTCACCTGCTCCTATCCCTATTGATAAATTATTTTGACTCCTTGGCAAACTTTACTTACTCAATTTGCCAATGCAGATACTGACGAAGATATTACGTTAGGGTGGAATATAATAACACTTCGCCTAAATTAACTCGTTGCCTCTCACGCCGGCGCACCTATTAAGACAAACAAAATTATTTTGTATATCGCTAATGGAACTTAAAAAAGAAAAAAAATCAGAAGGTAGAGAAACGAAAAATCTTCAACCTGAAACTATAACAGTTCGAGAATTGAATTTTAGGATATTTTTAAAGTGAGGAAGTTTGCTAAGGAAGGAAGTTCGATTTCGTTGCTGGTGCATTTGCTTTCCATAAACTTATATACATAATTAACGAGACTGAAGAGGCCGTTAAGGAACTTACTCAACTTTCTGCGATACTGACCGATTATTTATATAGGTTTCTATTTTTTTTTTTTGAGAATTATTTTTTAAGAGAATATTGTTAGCCCTTTGAGTAAGTTTGAAAAGCTAGAAATTAAACTGAAAGAGTTGTTATTATAGGATTTAGCAGGATCATCGATATCGTATTTTGTGGTTCCGCACATACTAAGTTTACATCGTAGATACAGATATTTATATACTATTGTAAGGAATATGAGAAGTTGGAGAAATACTAAGAGCTGAACTAGAAGATGTGTAAAAATGAAAACAAAAATACTCCTCACTGGTTAGCAGAAATAGGTCTAAACAAGAAAAACGTTCCAAGAATATGCTAACAATATCTCTGCTGAGAGATCTCTGCTCAAAAGAACTTCATGCTAGGAAAAACGAAGATTCTGCACAGAAGCTCCCAGGCCTTTGGCAGAGTACAACAGGTCAAGAATGAATCGCATCCACCATAGGCGAGAGAGATCTTATCACTGCACAAGCGCACTGATAATTTCGTCTAAGGTTAGCGCCCTCCGATATTAGGATGAGAACCTTTCGCCATAGAGTCACTTGGTGATATAGATGAATATGCCAAGCGATATAAGTAATAATACTGATTGATATTATCAGCATATCGTATGTGAAAAATTCTTTAAAGAACATTGGAGCAACGTTCCTCAATTTTTAAAAATTTTTCGGCATCGCTTTCTTTTGATTACTGAAATGTCGTAGAAAAAAATAAAAGGTTAAAAATGATAGCAATGATCGATCAAAATAAATGAATAAATGAATGATTTTAGTTGAATTAACGAAAATAAGAGAAAAATTATTGAGAAATGAGAAATTATCACATAAAATTTTAATTTCATTTTCCTTCAATTTTTTTTCTTCGAAGAAATTTTTAAAAACTTGTTTCATCGTTATTTTTTTTTCATTTTTTAACAGCAATTAATACATTTTTCTCTGATATTGATAAGTAAAATAGAAAAGGGCTCGATGCGTTGTTGCTCTCATTTCGGAGTGCCAGTGCCGTGTGATCGCTCCTATATAAGTAAACCTGTCCTTCAAAAATATGGACAATGATTCATTCTATCACCAAGTGACTCTATATGACAAAAATTTCCTTGATCCCATAAAACCAGCGAAGAGAGAGGGAGAAAAATTGTGAACAAATCGAATTTTTAGAGAACATAAATGATAAGCAATATAAAAATTGTGTTTTTTTTATTTATTACAATTATTTGAGAATTGAGAAATATCGCAAAAAATTTAAGGAAACAAGAAAAAAAGGATGCTTATGACAATCTAAATTTCGCTATGATTCTCTCTTGAATCTAAGCATAAATAATGACGCAAATAATCGGTTGGTACCTCAGACAGGAACTCAACTCACTATCGAGAAATTCTTATATTGCCCGCGATTCTTGACCTGGTATACTTCGATCACCAAACCACTCCCTATATAAATTTCTAACGAATGACCTAAATGATTACCTTAAGATTCATTTATTTATTCTTTCGCAAAAAAAAAATAACGAATTCAATTATTCTATAATGGTGAATGTTAATGGTGAAAATCTTAACCAATAGGTTGTTTTCCTTTTTTTTAAAACGAAAATACATCGAGAAAAAATGACCAAATTGATAGATTCGACGAAAGAAAGAAAAATCCGAATTACGCTTCCTACCGACCAATCTCTATTTCTATCGCCAATTTGATTTTGACTAAAACTTCTAACGAACAACCAACGAGTTCAATTAGAAACAAATAAATATCGACTAATTATTTATTTTAATTAAATTTAATTGAATTAAAATAAAAAATTAAAATTAAAAATTAAAATCATAATCAATAAAAAAAATTTAAAAAAAATAATTTAAAATAATTTAGAAAAAAAAAATGTTAAAATATAAATGCATAGTGATTGATGGTATTTGTGAGGATTAATTTTTGAAAAAATAATTTCGCCATGAAAGGTTCAATTAATTTTCCTTCATCCATGAACGATTACGCATCGACTCATTCAATAAATGAAATATTATTTAACGACGAGGATTTCTCAAATAGCCTATTCGTTACAACTTTCACCACCTCCTCTTCTCCTCCCCCCCCCCCCCCCCCCCCCCCTCCACTCCCTCCTATTCCATTCATTGATTCATTCATAACTCAAATTTTACGAATTTTATATTTGTGATTTTCTAATTTAAGAGCTTATTTTGAGTTATTGATATTTTAATTAATAACGAATAACGTTGTGAATTCCTCTTTTTCTATTTGATGAAAAACAAAAAATTAATAAAAATTAAAATTAAATTAAAATAAAAATTAAAATTTAAAACTTACTTTAGGCTATTATTGAACATTTTCTTAGTCAATTCAAAATACCACCCAATTAATACAATAAACAATTTAATTTAATTCAGTGATTTGTGAATGAAACGTAGCAAATCACTAACTGATTAATCAATGATTGATTATCAAAAAATTCTAATGATGACTGGCAATCGATTCGACGATTCTTTTAACCGCTATCACAGCCGCTATTTAATTTTCATCTGGTATTAATTTTTATATTTCCTACTAAATTAAGGCTAATCACCTTAACGCCTAAGAGAATGCTGAAAAAAAAAGAAAATTTTCAACGAAATATGACACAAATAAGAAATAAGCAAAATTTCATACAATTTATAAATAAAAACAATAATAAAAAAAAATTTTGTCGCAATAATAAATTTCATAGATAAATAATAAATAATAATAATAAATAAAATAAATAATAATAATAAATTTCATTTCAACTTGTCGGTTATCCAATCCACAACCATTCAATGGTGAAGATAATAGAACTATGGAGAAAAAAAAACAAGAAATTTAAGAGAAGCGTTTCGAGATGGCTAAAACAAATCATCGTAAATTATCATTAGACGCCACTCCCACTAGATAAACGAAAAGATAAAATTGAACATCTTTGAAGAAGTGATAAGATAAGAAGTGATGAGATTTCAAACTTAACAAGAACAGAGAAATGATCCATAAAATATTCTAATACTATGAACCATATTCGCAATCCAAAATTCGCAAAAAAACTTATCGGGCCAAAATTACTACTTTATCACACTCTTCACATACATACATACACACATGCACATACACAAAAACGCACATACACAAACAGAAATCCTTCGCCATGCTTTTCCAACGACATACTTCTTAAATGATTGTTAATTTTTATAAATAAACATTCGTAAAAAAAAAAAACCAGTTATACTATTATGCATTAAACGAACGATATACCTTCTCAGTTAAAATAAAATTACAAATAATTTTTTTTCTACGCGCTTCAATATGATTTTTTCTATGCCATTCATCCTTTAAAATTATACATTAAATTATTATTGGCGATCTTCTAAATATCATTTTATGACATCGATTTGAGGACAATGCAATCTATTAACGTTCCATTCACCAAACAAATAACAAATCCTTTATTGAATACCAATTAACAAAAACCAAATCGCGACTATTTTTTCGTAATTATAAAATTATAAAGAACAATCACTTACTTTATTAGCCTAAATTCATTAAATACGACCCTCGCTTGAATTCCTAAGTGAATAATTTGAAATATCAGAAAAAAAGCTCTAAAATATTCGATATAACAAAACGTTGAATATCTTTTGAAAGAAACAATGTAAGATAAATAATAGGATGCATAAATAACAGTTCGAAAAATATGATATATAAGCAAGAAAAATTACAATTTGATTACACCGATAATCAAAAATCACGATAAATGAAATTTTACCAAAATAATGATATTAATATGATTTTGGAAACATTTCAATATCGTTCACAAAAAGCTCCATTTCATTGCAAACAGCCTTGAAAATAAAAGAACTTGCGCATAAATATGATATAATATATGATTAGAAAAGATTCTATCAAAATGCCACAGAAATCCTAACAAAAATGAAGCAAGAAAATCAACCACATTAAAATTCATCAGCGCTTTCCGTATCTTTCACAAATTCTTCTTGAAAACGTTTGAATTTTCTTATCAAATCATCCAGCTTGACCTCACCTCTCACCTTAAAATATTTTTTAAATAAGAGAAATCAGTAAAAGAAATGAACTTCTGGATTCTTACAAATAAAATATAAATAAAATAAAACAACAAATAAAAACACAACCAAAGACATTTGTGAAAAAAAAAAAAACAATACAGCATTATCACGCGTACGGACATTAACCGTTCCATTTTCACTCTCCTTAGGACCAATCACAAGTATGAAATTGAATTGGGCAAGTTGAGCATTTCTAATTTGTTTGTTCAAGGTATCAGAAGAATCTTCGTCGAGTTCTACCTCGAATCCAGCTTCATAAATCTATAAAACCCTATTTAAAAAAAAAAAAAAACACAATTTTACAGCAACCAGAAATTTTTAAGTATCGCAAAAATCAATTCAAAATCAATTCAAATTCAATTTAAAACCAAAAAAAAGGAACTGAAAATCGGAAACAAATATAACTGATCGAAATACCTTTTTCTGTACCATGCGAGCATATTCTACTAAAGAATTATGGACGAGCACGATTTTGGCCTATAAATAAAAAAGAAATTTTCACCTCAATTTTACTAAAAACTTAAAAATGACCGTTGATAAAAGCAAAGAAAGGGAAGATATTACAAATTTTTATATTAAAAAAAAGCTTACTTGCCGCGGTGAAAGCCAAAATGGCCACTTCCCTCCATAATTCTCTGTAAGAATTGCGGTCATGCGTTCGACCGAACCAAGTAAGGCACGGTGAATCATTACTGGTTTTTGCCGAAAACCGTTTTCACTGGAATAAATACCTAGAAATGAAATATAGCCCAAAAAATTTGAGGACGACAATTCAAAAAATAAATTGAATTGATAAACAATTCAAAAAGATAAATTAAATGAATTTACGATTACTCAAAATACGAAAGGTCAAATCTCTGAGGAAGCTGGAAATCCAGCTGAATCGTGGCACACTGATGGAAACGACGTAGAGCATCCTTTATCGTTATATCAATCTGAAAATCAAAGATTACAAACTTTTTGTAGATTTTATCACATACATTTTTTCTTTCTGCAAAATGAAAATTTTTCAAAAATTCATCATTGGACTATGAATTTATAAATGAAATACCTTAGGACCATAAAATGCTCCATCCCCAGGATTTAATTCCCACGAATGTCCTGAGCTATCTAAGGCTTTTTTCAGTTCACTCTCTGCGCTATCCCTATAAATAAACAATAAGCAAAATTCAAAAAAATGCGCAAGAAAGCAAATTTGAACGAAGTTTTAAAAAAAATTACGAAAATCATAAAAAAATCTTTTTTCACCACTGAATTTCATGAAAACTTTTTTATTCTTTTTGAGATATTATGGCTTACCATGTAGCTATATCACCCAAATATCCTTCTTCAGGTCGAGTACTCAAGTTCAGTTTAAACGAAAAGCCAAAAACTTTAACATATGCATATGTCAAAAAATCAATGCAACTCTGCAAACGCACTACTATAATAAAAACCAATAACGTTTTAGGAATAATAATTTTGAAAAAAATTTAAAAAATCATCAAAAGTGAAATATAAGAGGAATCCTTAATAAAGAGAAAGGATATTATTCTAGCAAACGATAAATGGTAAAATATTGTTGTAAAAAAATAGTACCAAATTTCAGTTGCAGATAACTTTTATTCAGCAGTTCAAATAAAAGAAAATGCTTTCAAATACCTGTATTTCTTCACCAATTTGATCAGGACGACAAAAAATATGAGCATCATCTTGCTGGAAACGACGCACACGAGTTAGACCACTTAAAGCACCGCTCACTTCGTTCCTAAAAATTATTTTAAACGCTTGACACTATTTCAAATTGTTTAAAAATTTATCAAAAGGGAAAAATAAACTCATCCAAAACGAATTAACTTTTTGATCCAATGGAAAATAATACCTATTCAAAGCCAAAGACCCGGTCTAACGATACAACGAATTCAAGAAGAGTCATAAACAATGGAAAAGAGTTTCTTCACGCAGCGAATGCATAAAATATATTAAGATAATATTACTAATTCGTTCATATGAAATCGTAATAACCTAATATATACCTGTGCAGCACACCAAAATCGGCGTAACGTATCGGAAGATCATTATAAGCACGTGGCATATGTGAATACATTAAACAGTGACCTGGGCAATTCATTGGTTTTAAACCAAAGATGTCTTTCTCGACTTCTATCCTGAATATATCTTTATGGACTAATATAAATGTAAATATAAATGAAATAAAAAAGACAGCAAGCAATAAAATTGTGTTTTAAATAGAATTGTGTAATTATTTACACAATTTTCTAACAATTAATTTTTACGTTGCAAAAAAATTCATGAAAAGGCAAATCGAGTCAATATAGATTACTTGAAAAGGTTATCCGAATAATGGTCCCAGTGACCAGACTGCTGCCATAATTTACAATTGAACATATTGGGAGTTATTACCTGAATTTAATAGCATGGAAAAACAAGACATGTTTAAAGGAAATTATAATAAACAACAGTAATAATTTTATAATAATGATGCCGAAATAAAAGTAGAAACAAATAATGAGTCAAAAAATGGTAATAATAAATAAATGTAATTGAAAAAAACAGCAATAATTAAAATAATAAATAATAATAACAATAACATAAATAAAAATGATAACAATAATAAAACGATAATCAAATAATAATTAATAATGAAAAATTTTGAAAATTTTTGTCAGCCAGCGGTCATTTCAACGAAATATTCATGATTTTATTTCTGAATTTTCATAATTTTCTATTTTTATTATTCAATAAGAAGCCCTTATTTTCCTCTCTTTATTTAATTTTTTTTCCACATTAATAATAGTATCAACAACAGCATAACGCCTCATTATTCTTCTATTTATTTGAACTTGATAATTGCGATTACAAAATTTGAAAGTTCCTGGAAAAGACGGTTTTCGGCTGATGTCTCAACATAAAAGACAACGGATGTATTCAAGGTATGGAAGAGAGAAAGCCAGATGAATAAAGCAAAGCAATCCTGTTCCCAATTTCCAAGAAGATGACACGACATACTACAACAACTATCGAAGAACTAGCTTGTTAAATATCTCTAGGAAATTTTCGTTTTTCTTTAGTTGAATAGGTTTATGGCGATACGAAATAATAAGATGCGCCCTAACTAAGTTGTTCAGGTGCTGAATATTTACGCTAAGGAAGAACGTCAATTCAAATATCGGCAATTCACTGACTGCTTTAGATTCAATTCAGTTCGATTCAGCTGATAGAATAGGGCTCTGGAAAATGATGGAGTGTGACGATGTTGCAGAGAAAAGCATTCGAGTATTCGACTCACTCGATTTATTTATTCTACACATTGACACAGGTTTGTATAATGATGAATTAACAGATTCTCTTGAAATAAAAAATGGTGTTCAACTAAGCGATAGATTGGGCACCACTTGTCCACATTCAAGACAATCCAAAGCATGGTATTACATGGTATTACAGATATTGAATAAGCTGATGATTAATATTTTTTACTGATAATTATGAAGGAATGCAAGCGATGCTAAATAATTACCCACTGTAGCAAAAATCTTATTCAGGACCAATGTTATTAAGATGAAAGCTTTTTTATCTTACAAAGACGATAATAAAATATCTATTTCTATTTTATCAACTCACCATGGATTGTGGAACCTACAGACTCTAAACGTCTTGGGTCCACATTTATATCAAATGGCCAAGAGAACGAAAAAACTGTAGTTCGAATAAGCACAGCTTTAATGCCTTCTTTAGTTTGGTGAAACCTCTAAGGAACCAACCTGAGATCACCATAAAAACGGGTCCGCATCCATTTGGCTGCAGTATGCTATTATACAAATGCGAAACCAATGAAAATGAAAGAAATCAATAAGTTATCCACCTTTGATCACTCATCTCTAAGGTACATTTTAGCCATTCGTCGGATAAAAAACCCACGTGATAGCATCAATCTTTGCTTAAAAACTATCTGCGTTCAAAATATCGTAGCAAAGCACCTATACAGTTTAAACTATTCTTTATTCTTTCTTCCAGCCTACCGCAGGGATTAATATAATATTAATATAATATTAATACAGGGATTAATATTTTGCCACTTTTGATATTATCAAAAGCGACCAATGAAGATTTGGATTGATAAAGACAGAAAAGATCTTAAATATATGTGGTAATATATGGACTCGGACGATAGAAAAAGGAATGGTTTCTTTTAATACTAGGCATGGCATCCAATCGAGCGGCTTGGAGGTGTTTTGCCCCCATAGCCAGCGGAGCTACCTTAAACAGCAATAGTGAGAAATAAAAATGATTAATAAAGATACAAGCAAATAAACAAAAAAAAAGGTATGACTAAATAATACAGCGACAATAAATGATAGGAAAAATAACGACAAAATTGACTTAATGACAACAAAAAAGCCTACATCCAATTCTACCACCTTCGAAAATTAAAAATCAAAAAATTATATACAAAAAATAACAAAGAAAACCTCAGTAAAACCACGTTTCCGGTACTCCTTACGAATAAAATTGCAAAGTGTATTGAAAATATGAGTTCCTTTGGGATACCAGAAAGCTGACCCAGGACTCATTGGATGGAAAAAAAACAGCTCCTGATCACGGCCTATCTTACGATGGTCCCTTTTCGCTGCTTCTTCCTAAATCTCTTTCGATTAACGAAATACTTGACCTAAAAAAACTGCCTAAAAAAGAAAGTTTTGAACTTTATAATTTTTTATGCATTACTTTTGAATTTATTCAGTGAATACAGAACTTATACGAATGCCTCTTTGAGACCAATTGTACAAATATTTACCTGGAGCTTGTGCCATTCCTTCAGCTGCTTTGAATCAGGAAAAGAAATACCATAAACGCGAATAAGTGATTCAGCGTCCACTTTACCCTCCCAGTGAGAACATGATGTTTTCGTAAAAGATATCGCCTGAAAACAATGTCATTGTATTATGCAAAAGGCATTTCATTTCCAAACTGTTTTTAATATAAGGGCTTCAGCTTACTATGTCATATCATAACATAAATAATAGTATAATGCAACAAACAACCAATCCTGCATTAACTATATTTGAAAGTAAAGGTAAATTTTAAAACATAATTACAAAACAACTGACAAAATGATAAAAACAAGAAAAAAATGAAAATCAAAGAAAAACTTTTATTTTTCCGGTATGGCGAACATGTGGACCTCTACATAAATCAATCAGTGGACCACAGCGATATACAGTCGCATATGGTGTATCAATTTTTTCATTGATGATTCGGACCTAGAATAACTTATAACTAGACGTCGAATAAATGTAGGATATCGAATGAAAACTAATTCGCACATGCAATATACAATTTCTTAAACAGGTTCACAGATTTGTTAAATTACTGTCACCTTGAATTTATTATATCTGAACATCTTTAGCAAATTCTCTTTTGAAACGAGAAGCCTTTCGAAAGGTTGTTTATCCTGTAAATTTTAATAAAACTAATTAAAGAAAGTAAAATTCATTCATTCTGAAGAAAAAATAATATACTGCGGGAAAGGACTTTGGCTAATATATGTTTAATTTCATAGGAACTCGAGAAATAACCAATTACTTACTTTAACAATGCATTTGGCTATCTGGTCGAGATTCGGGAATTCATTTGGACTTATTGCATCGCCCTGAAAAGAAGAAACTAAGGAAATATAGCAATGAAAAGTCGATTTAAAAAAAGTTTGTGAAAAAATCAGGCAAAATTAAAAATCCAAAAATTTTTCTGAAAAAACCAACATAACTCATATTAACTAGATATTAAGAACAACACGGACCTCTTTAAACATATCGTAATAAAACCCATCAGAAATGGGTGGTCCATAACAAAGATGCCCGGCACAATAACGTTCCATAGCTTCACCTAGAACATGAGCTGAACTATGCCAGAACACCTGAAAAATTTTTAAAGAAATTCGCATTTTCTTCGATACGATAAAAAAAAGGAAAAAAGGAAAAAGGAAAAAAACATCAACTGCTTCTATTTATATAAATATAAGAAAATCATAAATACCTGTTTTGCTTCATCATTTTCAAACTTCAATAACTCCAGTGTAGCACTGTCTTCAAATGGACGGTCCAGATCCCATACCTTGAAATAAATTTGAAATATGACATTTCTATTTTCATAAGCCAATTAAAATAAAAAATTTTTTTACCTCATTATTAACTTTAGCCACAACAATTGTATTAGCTAGACCAGCACTTATTTTTTCAGCGATTTCCATTGGTGTAGTGCGCCATGATTTACCTTCAAATATCTTTCCATCAGGAAGTTTTATTGATATTGGTTCAGAAATCTATAAAAAAAAATCCAAAAATTCAAAGGATTCAAAAAATAATTTTTAAAAAAATTTGGGAAGTTAAGAAAAATGAATTATATTAAAGTTATAGATTATAGATTTACAAATTGCTTGATGTGGCAATAAAACAAAGAAAGCTTTTCAGTTATGGAAACAAACAAAAGTAAAAATTGAATAAAATTGAACATACTTTTGCAGCAATTTCTGCTTTATAATCATTCATTAATTTTTCAAACAATGCATTCCGTTCTTCAATAAAGTCAGGCCAAGGTGACATTTCCACAGTTGTTGTCGCATATTTCTATAAATTTTATGGATTGCAAACAATCTTATGGATTCTTTTTCAAGCATTCAAAGTAAATATTTTCTTAAAGAAATTTTATATAAAATTCTTTTCAAATGTCAAAATTCTTTGGAATTGCAATATTTTCTGTTTTTTCATAATTCGATTAGTATAATAATAAAAAATTTTTTCCGTTTAAACGTTGAAAAAAATATCGAACATCCATTTAAAATATTTATAAAAGAAATTGAGAACATTCTCTTTGATCAACAAGAATCTTTTTTTTATTCTGACGGATAAGAATATGTATAGGACAAAGTCTAATTAAAATCTTCAAGGTACAAACATTCTAGTGATAAAGATAAAAAAGATGTTCCTGAAAATTAGTAAAAATTTTAGAAAAGCAGATTCATACGGAATTTTTTAGGCCATTCATAATTTGCTTTGTATCTACAGCCATATTGCAGCAAGCAAAAGATTGAATGCACCACTGAAATTGGAATGTTCGCAGCGGTGAGATCAGAAACGATTTCACCAAAGTATTGAGACGATTTGCCAGATGATATTGAATATTAGCCAATTTTTCACCCTTTAATAAGCTAAAAAATAAGCATATTCAAAACACCCACAATAACCAATACAACACCAATGATATAAGATAATATCTAGAAGAATTGCGCATTAACTTAATATGATAAGAGATTGGTTCATTGAAAGAAATCACTAACTCAGTCACTAAATTATCACTAAATCACTTAAGAAATCACCAAATTATAAAAATTTTATAATATCTCTTTTAATTTCTCTTCTTCAGAAATATAGCATTGTATCAACTATCGATCAAATCTGGAATGTTGGTTCCATATTAAATCCCTTTAAAAATTTTTTCACCTTTCTTGCCACATTTTCCGAAAAACTTTATTTTAATCATATATTTCGATATATTAAAGAAGAAAACGAAATCATTTTATAGAAAAAATTATAAAATATAAAAAAAGAAATAAAATTAAAAATAGCAAAGAAAATTTAAAAAATTCGCCATAAATACTAATTGATTGAAAAATCAACGTTTTTTTTTTCAAAATAAAAAAATATATTTCAACATGAAATAAATTTTCAGACGGATCATCAAAATAATTGAACAAATCAGAAATGGTGAATGCTAATAATAAAAAAGCAGTTCTTTTTTCTTTTTATATCGCCAATACATATTTTTTTCTAAGAATAATCAGGCCAAAAAAATTTTTGCGGCCACAAAGCCATTTGGCATAAGAAATATAGGAAAGTGGCCAGGATGATTCAGATTTCCAAAAAAAACTTATGCTAAGAATAAAAACCTATAAAGTAGCCGTTCCGAAATAAGAATAACAACAGCAACATTTTGAACTATTCTATCCGCTTTACAATAAAAGAATTCATGAAATAAGAGCCAAAAAATATGCTATTCACTAATATCAGCCGACATCTCATTACGTGGCAGAAAATATTCTCTAAATAAAATCCGAACCAAATACGAATTATTACATCATGTTATACCGTAACATGAGAATCGTTTCGTAAAAATATTTTATAAATAATGCGTTTTATGCAGCTCTATATTTGCTGAAGTTTATTTTAATTACTGTTTAATAATACGGCTAATAATAAGATAGCTATTAGATTCAAATATAATATGAAGCAAATTAGAGTATTCAAAAACTTAAATCCATATTCACTAATTATGCAAATCTAAAATCTATTAGATGCGTTTGTTGGTTTAAGAAAAAGACAATTGAATAGGTGCGGTGAATTATTTGGCCAAATAAATAAGCCATGAATAGGTGTGGCGAATTATTTGGCCAAATAAATAAGCCATGAATAGGTGCAGTGAATTATTTGGCCAAGTAAATAAGCCATGAATAGGTGCGGTGAATTATTTGGCCAAATAAATAAGTCATTTTCGAATATAATTTACTTCCATAAAGCTTTTTTTATAAATGCTTATTACATACATAATTAATTGTAGCAATAGTTATTATTAAGAAATTTTTATAAATATTATAATTATTACTTGCAATATTACTTAATTATATTATTTTCCTTGTCCCATACATCTTTTAAAAATATCTTTTATTATATATAATTGTAAAATTAGCATAATTATTAGGTCGAAGAAGGCTGTCGACTCACTTATACTTCTATCGCTAAGGGATTCCAAGGCATATTTAGTGGCTTAAGTGGTGATAAGCCAGCGGAGCAGTGGTGATAAGTCTAATCAGTAATGGTGAGGGCTGTTAAAAAAATTTCAGCGTTTACAAAATTTTCATATATGTAAATTTCTTTCAAGAATCTCGCCTGTCTTCTATTTATTAAATTACATATTTCGAAGCAAACGATATTAAAATTAGTCTTTTTTGTATTTAATTTTAGCTCCATTTTTTTGCTTTCGATTTTTAGAACTAATATCTCTCTTCATTGCATTATCCGTTATCCGTTAAAGACTATGCTTAACCATCTTGAAGAATCAGCTCTCTTAGTATATAATAGAGATTAATCTGCATGGATTGAGCATCCTCGTCGCACCCCTAATTACTACTTACAACTAATCACTACCTTTTTTTCATAGTCCTTACTATTACTGGTTAGATTCGCTCCGCCGGCTTATCGTACTAGATAAACATGACGGAGAAGAGAGTACCTTGGCGGTAGAAATACATCTCACTCCTCGACATCATCCGGATTTTTGGGTAGATTTGCTCTTAAGATTGGAACTTTCAAGACATCGGCACTCGCAACTGAGCAACAATCCACTGAGCTATTTTATTAACCATTTCTCTGTTAGACGGCACTGCTGCCTGATGAAGTGTGGTGCGATTCGGTAGGATTCAAACGTACCCCTCGATTCTCGGTGGCAGTTATCTTGCTACTGAGCCACCAACGCACCACGCTTCACTGATTTTCATATTTGCAAGAAAACGCTAATAAGTGGCCAAAACCCGACAAACTTCAACAACTTTTCTCACAAATTTTATTTTTATGCTTTTTTCATATTTGTATTTATCTGCTATAAATAAAAAAACAATTTTAATATTTTTTCGCAAATTTCCGTTTCTTGGAGGCTTATTTAAGTGGCGATCAAATAAATCTTTTAGCCGTAGTGATCGGCGAAATCAACGATATTTCACAATAATTTGCTAAGTTTTCCGTATGCGAATTATTTTTCTAAAAGAACTTTTATTTTTGTAAAATTTTTTCCAAATTTCGAGCAGATTTTTAAATTAAATTAAATTAAATTTTTATGGTTTGTTAATTCGATTAGAATTTTTAATGCCAAAATCATACAAAATTCTTTTTTTCAAAAGTTTGATTATTAATAAATTTCAATAAATTTCAATGAATTTTTATAATTTAATTTTCCTTCAAAATATTACTTTACATAATTGCAGTTTTNGCTTAAGTGGTGATAAGCCAGCGGAGCAGTGGTGATAAGTCTAATCAGTAATGGTGAGGGCTGTTAAAAAAATTTCAGCGTTTACAAAATTTTCATATATGTAAATTTCTTTCAAGAATCTCGCCTGTCTTCTATTTATTAAATTACATATTTCGAAGCAAACGATATTAAAATTAGTCTTTTTTGTATTTAATTTTAGCTCCATTTTTTTGCTTTCGATTTTTAGAACTAATATCTCTCTTCATTGCATTATCCGTTATCCGTTAAAGACTATGCTTAACCATCTTGAAGAATCAGCTCTCTTAGTATATAATAGAGATTAATCTGCATGGATTGAGCATCCTCGTCGCACCCCTAATTACTACTTACAACTAATCACTACCTTTTTTTCATAGTCCTTACTATTACTGGTTAGACTCGCTCCGCTGGCTTATCGTAAAACATGACGGAGAAGAGAGTACCTTGGCGGTAGAAATACATCTCACTCCTCGACATCATCCGGATTTTTGGGTAGATTTGCTCTTAAGATTGGAACTTTCAAAACATCGGCACTCGCAACTGAGCAACAATCCACTGAGCTATTTTATTAACCATTTCTCTGTTAGACGGCACTGCTGCCTGATGAAGTGTGGTGCGATTCGGTAGGATTCAAACGTACCCCTCGATTCTCGGTGGCAGTTATCTTGCTACTGAGCCACCAACGCACCACGCTTCACTGATTTTCATATTTGCAAGAAAACGCTAATAAGTGGCCAAAACCCGACAAACTTCAACAACTTTTCTCAATTTTATTTTTCTGCTTTTTTCATATTTGTATTTATCTGCTATAAATAAAAAAACAATTTTAATATTTTTTCGCAAATTTCCGTTTCTTGGAGGCTTATTTAAGTGGCGATCAAATAAATCTTTTAGCCGTAGTGATCGGCGAAATCAACGATATTTCACAATAATTTGCTAAGTTTTCCGTATGCGAATTATTTTTCTAAAAGAACTTTTATTTTTGTAAAATTTTTTCCAAATTTCGAGCAGATTTTTAAATTAAATTAAATTAAATTTTTATGGTTTGTTAATTCGATTAGAATTTTTAATGCCAAAATCATACAAAATTCTTTTTTTCAAAAGTTTGATTATTAATAAATTTCAATAAATTTCAATGAATTTTTATAATTTAATTTTCCTTCAAAATATTACTTTACATAATTGCAGTTTTATGCCAAAAATGTTAAATGCCATAATCTTTCTTTATTTTCAAAGCTCAGATATTAGATATTTTTATGCTTCGACTCTGTCATTACTACTTATTTAGAATTTCTAACTGCATCGAAAGCAAAGCTAAAGCAGAATGTGTGCGTGAACCACTTATTTTAAATTCAAAGGGTTAAATAGGGCTTTCGAAATTATTTGACATTACATGGTTACTATAGATTTCACGATTCCAAATGACTCCAATATATTGAATATTGTTTGTTGAACATCTAAGAAAAATGCGAAAATTTCTGATATATCAATGAGAAAAATTTTTTAAAATACTGTTAAATAACATAGATTTTGCAAACTGGAAAAT